AGATGAGACACAGTGACGAGCTTTAAACATACCTTAGGTATAGATAAACATAATAACAATGTTGTGCTGCTTAGTAAGGCTGTTCGTCGATTCGCCGATAGCGGGATTACATCATCCTGCAAGACCGCGGCTGCTACTAATATCTCCGGGCGTTGAATCCCCCGTTGAACCACTCAGAGTTGATTCCTGCCTCGACCATCATTAACCCCAATTGCCCGCTGTCCCAATCATCCTCCGAGGGTTTCGATTGAAGGGCAATGGCGCCTCCAGTCCCCCCTGGACAGAGCTTCACGGCCCGCGGGGTCCTGGTGGGCCTTGCGGTAGGGACCGTCATCTGTGCCGCCAATGTTTACTTTGGATTGCAGACTGGCTGGGTTTCTATCATGTCGATGCCCGCCAGTCTCATGGGATTCGGAATCTTTAAGCTTCTGTCTCGTCACCTGGCCTTCCCCTTCACCCCCGTGGAGAATGTTCTCGTTCAGAGCGTAGCATGCGGGATGGCTATCATGCCTTTGGGCTGTGGCCTTGTTGGCGTCGTTAGTTCTAACATCAGCCGTTCTTCAGTAATTTGATAGAGTTGCTTGCTAACTGAGGCCATGACAGATACCGGCCATGACGATGCTTCTGTTGCCCGAAGAGCAAGGCCCCTTGAACTTGAGTACCTGGCAGCTTATCGTTTGGTCCCTCGGCCTGTGTTATTTTGGCGTTGTATTTGCCGTCCCACTGTAAGATCTACACACTCATTAAGAAGAGTATATGGATGCCTATGCTGACTATTGTGGAAGTCGTCGGCAAGTCATCATCCGGGAGCGGCTGCGATTCCCCAGCGGTTTTAGTACAGCCGTGCTGATATCCTTCCTGCACGGTCAGGGCCAGCAATCACAGAAGGAGCTTGACGCCGCGGCTGAGGGTAAATTTGCCAGCCTGGTGCCTCGCGACGAGCCTCTCCTGGCCGAAGAGTCCTCGGCCGTCAGTGGTGATGTTGACAACGATGTGCAGGAGGAAACTGGCGAAACGAGCGACGATTGGGCATCGAAAATGCGACTCCTTCTTATCTGCTTCCTTATTTCTGGTGTGTACACGGTTTGCACGTACTTCTTGCCTATCCTTCGCAACCTACCCATCTTTGGGACTACTGCCGCCCAGGTGTGGCTGTGGACGTTGAATCCTAGTCTTGCCTATGTTGGCCAGGGGATCATCATGGGTGCCGAGACGACTCTGCACATGACTATTGGCGCAGTCGTTGGCTGGGCTATCCTCAGCCCATTGGCCAAGTCTAGGGGCTGGGCTCCGGGACCTGTTGATGATTGGGAGACTGGTAGTAAGGGCTGGATCGTTTGGATTTCGCTTGCCATCATGCTTGTTGACGCGGTTGTGAGCCTTTCATACATTGCGCTGCGTCCCCTAATCGGCCATCAAGTTACAACCGTGTCCAGGCTGTTGGTGCAGAAAATCCAGGCCAGTGATGTCGCAAACATCTTCCGAGGCAACTCACATGCATACACTGCAATCCCATCTCATGAGGAAAATGAAGAAACCCCTCGTCATTCTCAGGAGAGGGAAGGTAGCCTTCGGCTAGTGAATCCCTACAAAAAGGACGAGGACGAGGATGAGGATGCCCCTGCCCATCAACGTATCAGCGCCAAAATCGTCACCATCGGACTGATTGTGTCTATTGCGCTGTGTATCCTAACCATACACATCGTTTTCGGGGACCTCATTCCGCTCTATGCCACAATCATTGCAGTGCTTATGGCATTGGTTCTCAGTATCATGGGTGTCAGAGCTCTCGGGGAGACAGATCTGAATCCAGTGTCGGGGATTAGCAAGCTTGCGCAGCTTTTCTTTGCACTCATCATCCCTCAGTCTCACAAGTCCAGCGTTTTGATCAATCTTATTGCGGGCGCCGTCTCTGAAGCCGGGGCATTGCAGGCTGGCGACCTGATGCAGGATCTAAAGACTGGCCATCTGCTTGGAGCAGCACCGAAGGCTCAGTTCTGGGGCCAGACCATCGGTGCAACCGCCGGTGCGATCCTGGGAGCCCTCATATACCAACTCTACACGACGTAAGTGAGCCTTACTGAACTCTTCCTCTCGATAACTGATCCCTATCTTTTGTACTAAAACACCCACAGGGTCTATGAAATTCCCGGCGACTTGTTCCAGGTTCCAACCGCATATGTCTGGATTTTCACTGCCAGGCTTGTCACTGGCAAAGGTCTCCCGCATATGGTCAAGGAATGGGCTATTGGTGCCGGTATCTTGTTTGCGATCGCGACAATTATCAGGACTGTCTCGGTCGGCAAAGCCTGGCGACCTCTGGTGCCGGGCGGCATTGCAGTAGCCGTCGGTGGGTGCTATCCCTGGTTCCAAGTTATCCCTACCCAGGCTTTATTAATACTGACCGTTCTTAGGCATGTACAATGTCCCATCGTTTACATTAGCTCGGGCCATCGGTGGTATCGGTGGATGGTATTGGATCCACGTCATGAAACGGTCAAATACTCCCCTCATCATACTTGCATCTGTAAGTCCCCTTTATCACACTAGGCCAATAGCTACTGACAAGCATTCAGGGTTTCATCCTCGGAGAAGGGTTCTTAAGCATAGTTAATCTCATCCTTCAAGGTCTGAAGGTGCCACATCTATAAAATGGAGAGCATGTCATATATCATATAAATAGAGCACTTTTTTTTCTTCAGATGTAGATTCTACTCTAATCTAGACTCATTTCATCTTCCATGATTGTGTTCTTGGCTTCTCGCCGTTTAGATTCCATGCCGCGCCAATAGAGAGCGCTCTTTTGTTCTCTTCGAGAACAGCGTATGTGACCTCTCCTGCAAGCTTCGTCTGCGCAGCAAGGTCCTTGTATGATCCATCGGGGTTGATGAGTAGGAGCCCCTGCTTCCAGTGTGTGGGTGTGTCAAACGGTCCGGTGCTGAACCCGACATTCCCAGGTTTCTGCTTGGCAAATGCGACTGGGAGAGTCTCAGCCTCGGGCACGGGCTCATCTGCCGAAGTTGCGAAGAAGTTGTCGAACCAGATGGCAAACCCGTCCAGTTCATCAACATCTTTGGTCAGGCTAGATTCCCACTTGGCCGTGAACGACAGGTCTTGCGTTGTCACGGTGCGCAAATCAAGGACTTTGAAGGGGTAGGGCTTGCCACAAATGGATTCCTTGGGCAATACTTCCACTCGAGCTTCGTCGTAGATTCCCTCTTGCATCGCCTTCATGTTGAATCCGTACACGTCCTTCCAGTAGTTGATATGGTCCGACACGAACTCCGGGTCGGCGACAGGTGCCATCCACATGGTCATGGAGCTTGGCGCGATGATGCCGCCAGGTCGTAGATACTTGTCTCGGGCGTACAAAACGCTGGGGAGCATGGCCTCGTAGAGGAGGAAGTAGCCCATCCACTCACTCACGATGATGTCGACTTTGTCAACGGGGAGGACGACCTCCTCCATGGCCCCCTTCACACAGGTGATGGTGTCTGATAGGCCATTGTTGAAGATGTTTTCTCTCGCCTTCAGGATGATGTCTGACTTGTCCACCGCAATGACCCGGCTGGCACCAGCTTTGGCGCAGAACATGCTCAGAATACCTGTATTTTATTCCATTAGACAAGTCGGTGGCGGAGAAGAGAAGCACATTGCAAATTGGAGTATCATACCAGTGCCACAGCCAATATCAAGAACGACCTTGTCTTTGAATATATCCTTGTTGTTGTACATGAAATCGCGGTATGCGTCTGTTCGAACAGCATCCTTGAGCATGGTTTCATGAATTTCTGACAAAGAATTAGGAAACTGGCTGTAGTATGTCATGGGGAGGAATATATACCGTGATAAGCGTAAGATTCAAAATAATATTCGGAGTTGTCCTTCTTTGGGGTAGCAGCGCCTGGCTTAGGTTCTTCGTCATCGCCCCATCTGCGATCAAGGGTCTGCTCGACTGCCAGACGGTAGTTGGCGAACTGATTGCGCATGGCCTCGAGCTCCTCTTCAAGCTCCTTGTTGCGAGTCAGCAACGCATTCGCTGAGGCTGCGTCCAGTGAGGAATTGTCCTCGCTCTGGCTGGCCTCGAGGACATCGTCCAAGGAGAACAGCAGTGCATCGTTTTCAAGGACGGGCTTCAGGTAGCGCTCATGCTCGAGGTCGGCAAGGGTGATCTCTGCTGGGAGTGACTGGCCCTGCTGGACCTGATAGCGAACATAATTGACCAGCTTGATGGCGCCGTAAAAGTCCAGGTTCAGGCGTCGCTGAGTCGCCAGAAAGTCGAACCCGTGCTTCTCCTTGCTGTGTGCCAGCATCTCGGTGGGCGTGGCGAAGGTCTGCTGGTCAAAAAAGGACACCACCGTAGATGTCTCCTCGTCGGGCTCGACATCCTGCCACTCACTGTCGCCGCCAGAGCTCTCGGTGTCACTCCTGTCGGACGCTTTGGGGTGGAAGTCGGCCATGATGAAAGTTGCGGGGCGAAACCGTCAACTTTTTCTTTTTGCCTTTTCCGGGCCTCTTTGTTATGTGTTTTACCTCCAAATGTTCACAGCTTCTCTACCAACGAAAGTCACAAAAAGCGTGGAGGGATGGGCCAGGAAAAAAAAGCCTTCCTAGCCGTCTATTCTACAATGCGCAATAAAGTAAATAAACGACCAAATACAAACTTTTAATGCGGCCCCATACTATTGTTACGTTTTATCTTAGGTGCCCAAATAAAATAAATGTAGTACTAGGGCTGGATGGATGTGGTTGGTGGAGATGCAATGCGGCGAGGTGAAATATCGCTGTATAGGGTAGCTAAGAGAGTAGCCTGAGAATTGAACAACCACTAGTCAGGCATGGGAGAACAAAATGTTCGTGGACAGTCATGCTTCTCGATCCTTGATCATAAGCTCGTCGGAGGTAGGCTGTTTGCCTTTATAAACAACATATATCTTCATAATCTGGCAGATATTGGTCCACTCCGTGAAACTTATGACGACCCCAATCAGAACGCCAAACTAGGCCTTCTTGCTGTTGCTTTTACTTGCATCCTCGTCATCCTCGTCCTCGTCCTCGTCCTCTTCTTCATCGTCTTCATCATCATCATCGTCATCAGCATCTGATACCGTCTCCCCTAGTTCTTGGAGCCGTGCCTAAGTATTCAGTCGTTAGTAGCTAAATCAGCAAGATCGTTGGTTTGGTTTGGTTTTTCCGCCCATACCTTGTACTTGTTAACCTTGTCTTCCAGGTCTCCGAAGACCATCAGTAGATCATCTAGCTCTGATTGTGTCGCGTCTTTGGCATTGTTTGCTTCAGTCGTCTGGGTTTTGGCCTGTACCACATGTTAGAACGAGGGTGATCAAAAGACATAATGAAGGTTTCCGGACATACCTCTTTGAGCTGGGATTCTAGCTTCTCGACTACAGTTTGTGATTTCTTGAGCTCTTGTTCTAGGCCCTTGTATTTCTTTTCAGCCTCCACCGAACGCGTTGTGTGCTCCTTTATCTTTGCCGCGCTTTCCTCGCGGAGGGCTTGCATCTCGTGTGTTTTGCTTTTGTTCGCCTGGATTCAATTGTTAGTGTTACTCACAAATACAATCAGTTAGCTACAGGGTATACATGCCTTTAACAAATCTACCTCGAGCCGACTAATGGTTGCTTTCAGATCAGCAGACTCGGCTTCGCTTCGGCGATGAACTCGCTCGACTTCCGTCTCTGCTACCTTCCGTGCTTGAGCGAGCTGCTTCTGGTGGTCGGATTCGATAGACTTTATTTGTTGCCTCAATTCTGCCGTTTGTTTTCCAGTTTCAGCCTCAGCTGTCTCAGCGGCTTTGAGAGCTTGGCTGAGCTTGTTCTGATAATCCGATTCGACTGCACTCAACTGTTGCTTCCACCTTGCTGATATTTTCTCTGTCTCGGCTTCGGCGGCTTTGCGAGCCTGGCTAAGCTGTTTCTGTAAATCGGCTTCTTTGGCTGCAATCTGCTTTTTCCAGTTGGCGTTTAGCCTCTCGACATCTGCCTCCTTGATCGCGAGCTGTTTCTTCCAGTTGACACTTTGTCTCTCATTTTCTGCCTCCTTTGCCGCAACCTGGCTCTGGAGCTTTCTATTTCCCATGTTAGTTTTGATTCCCCGTCATAATTTGATCGAAATGACAAACCGTAACTCTGCCTCGTGAACTCTCTGTTGAGTTTCAGATGCATTCTTGGCCTTGTTGAACTCAGCGCCGGTATTATCCTTCGTCCGGCGATGCTCAGCTCTCTCTTGGTTCAGTTTCTCTTCCAGAGAAGCCAGGGAAGCCTTCAAGTCTTCCAAGGTACGGTCCTTCTCTTCAACTTGGTTCCTCAATGAATCGACTAATTCTCGGGAAATTCCTTTCTGGACCCCGTTGGAGACTACGGAAATTTCCATGCTAGGATCCCTGTCAAGAGCACGGGCGATGCGGCTATAATTGTCCTTGAAGAAATCAATAAAAACGGCATCGAAGAATACCTCAGGTAGCCCTGACGCTGTAGCGTCAAGCTTTTGAGGCGTGACATCGAACTCTCGTATGATCGGATGGCTCCGGAGGTTCCCTAATCGATCCAAGTATCGATCTCTTTCAAGCCTGGACAATAATATGGAGTGCAGCGTTGCCCTTGGGATGGGGGAGTCTTTGGTTGAAAACTCGTAAGCGACACCAAGAAGCATAGCACACAAGCCTTGCACCAGCTCACCACCAGGGGTATTGGGTTGTAGAACGGCCTGGATCAGGCCCTGAACATTACTGCCTTCGGTTAGGAAATCATTCACAGCGTCCATGTCTTCATAGAGCCAGCCCAGGAGAATCATCAAATATCCCACCAAAATTCTTGTGTCATCGTCCCGTCGGAGACCCGTTATGAGATGGGCGGCCATTGTCTGAATGCTTGTGACAACCTCTTCACCAGTAGAGTGGTCGCCTTCGGTTAGCTCAAGGGCCTTCGCTTTTGTTGTTGGGTTATTGTACAAAAGGTGGAAAACGATTACGGCGGCAAACCACAGTCTATATGGATCGCTTGCATTCACTGCAGCAGTTGGGTTTAGTAGCATCGTCAGGACATTCGTGGACTCATCCTCATCGGATTGATAGCCCATCATGGCCCTTCCTAAGAAGTGCGCTTTGACCTCGGAATGATCTGAGAAGTACGCCTTCAGGCACTCGCATGCGGAGAACCGAACATCAAATGCGCTCGGATCTTGTAAGCCAAGTGTAAGGTCAAGTAGGCCATCAATTACATAGACCTTCTCTGGCCCCTGAGAATCTTCAGCTGGCTTCGCATCTTTAAGCGGAGAGGGGACCATGAGAGACGCGAATGACTCTTGGAGTTCGGAATTTTTCTCAATCATGTTGCCACTGGTCAAAAGTGCCTATGGGGCTCGAGTTAATGAGACTGGCAGTGACCTTTCGGGAGTGACATACTCACCTCGGCCTTGATCTGAGAATGGGCTTCTTGGCTGAATGCCAATTGGAGAACATTGAATCCAAGGCCATGTTTCCAGAATGCCACTTGGTTTTGAGGGGTAGCCGCAGATCCAGGGGTAATAAAAAGCCGGAGGACAGATAAGAATGCATACAGGATGCGATTTCTCTGGGCGAGAGCCCATTCGGCGATGTCTGTTTCTTGACTCTGAAACTGAAGCAAGCTTGTCAGGAGCTCTGACAGACGTTTAATATAACCAGATTCCCGGAACAAAGATTGGTTTGTTGGGTTACGCCGTAAAAGGTTGGCCAGTAAGATTAAACAATCTTCTACAGCTCGACCGCCTTCAGAGAGAGAGCCCTCAGCGTCAACAATCTTAAGAATTCTCTCGAAAGCATTCTCGAAAGCTACGAGCTTTTGGATATCCACAGACGTCAGGGTGAGGTAGGTTAATAGTGAAACAGCTTCGTTGCGAATAGCTTCTCTCTGATCATCCAGAATGGATACTAGCCGCGAGATACCGAGCGGGGCAGTGAAAATACACTCCTCCGTTCTCTCAGGCCGAGCGGACAAGATGGCAGAAAGCAATTGGAGAGAATACAAGCGCCCGTAGAAGTCGCCGGAATCTAAGAAGTCAAGAAGCAATGTGATGTTCTCCAGTCGCTGCGTGAACTCATCAGCTAGCCAAAGTGCGATTTCATCTGATGCTTCAGGGCTGCCCTTGTTAGGACTGAATAGCATCAAGAGTGTCTCGAGGACTATTTTCACCGTATCGATGTCCTCGCCATCCTTGCTCAAGCTCCCAATGAGCCCTCTTAATGCTTCTGAGGCAACCGAAGCAGGATAGTCTTTAGCGAAACTCCTCAAGCCCAGAATAGATGCACGGCGGTGCTCGAGAAGCGTCGACGAGGCTAAGCGGCCACTTAGAACAGCTATGGTCTCGCTGACAGACTGTATCGCCGGTGTAGTTGATATTGAGAACATGATTACAACTGGCTGGAGTGCCCTGCCATTGGGCAGCCGTCAATATCCACCTTAACCAACCAGGACACCTGTTTTTTTAAGAGCCGCGGCTTGTATGGGAGCAGTAGGGTTGTAGGCGCACGGCGTCGGCTGTCGATGGTCGATGGGGCGAACTATTCGAGAGCAAGTTGGTCGCTACTGTCTTGCTGTGACGATTTCTCGGCTGAGCCGTGTGGGTTAATGTCAATGCGATTTTGGAGAATACTATGATAGTGAAGAATACTACTCACCGGAATCTCAACCGCTCATCATTGGAGTCTTGAGAATTCGACGGGAGCGCATGGTCTCAGCTACCCAAGCGAAGCGCAAGTTGAAACAGGTGGCCATGAAGCTGCCCACTTAACGGGTACTGCTTAGGGGACCATGCTCCGACATTCAGAACCCGTCCCTTTAGCTACATGCTACTTCTTTAGTGCATGGCAAGCTTAGCTCGGGCAGCGATAAGATATGCATGTACAAGGTAGAGCGCGCGCCAATAGGACGGGCGGCAGGGCCTGGAGGCGGGGCGAGTGCCTGGACTCGCGCCAGGGACCCGCTAACTTTTCCAACTGACGCTTTCGCATCGCAGCCACTTCTTCTTCCTCTACCAAAGCGACTGAACGTATTTTCTCTATCTCATCAAGGGCATTACACTCTTCCGAGTCGGTCGTTCTTTTCGCTCATATATCTTGTACCTCTGGGCACGGCCTGCTAACGGATCCCTTTTCCCTTGATACCTATTCCAGCGGGTTTCCTTGCATCGGCTTCTCGAACTTTAGACCCATGCTGTGACCGTCGCGATTGTCATCTGCTGTCATCTGGGTTCCGTTGCGCCCAGTTGAGCCTTTCTATCCGCACCAAATCCCATCTTCACCATGGGTATTCCCGCCGCTTTCCGATGGCTTTCAAATCGATATCCCAAGATCATCTCCCCAGTGATAGAGGACCAACCTATCACTATGGATGATGGGACAACGATTCCTGTCGATACAACAAAGCCCAACCCAAACGGCGAGGAGTTCGACAATCTCTATCTTGACATGAACGGCATCGTCCACCCCTGCTCCCACCCGGAAGATAGGCCTGCACCAAAAGATGAGGAGGAAATGATGCTTGAGGTTTTCAGATATACTGACCGCGTTGTGAACATGGTTCGACCGCGAAAGATTTTGATGATTGCTGTCGGTACGTCTCTTTTTATATGAATCAGTCCCCTTTTGCCAAATATCTATCATCCCAGACTAGGGCACGTTTTGGCCTAACATATCATTTCTAGATGGTGTTGCACCTCGAGCAAAGATGAACCAGCAACGATCCCGACGCTTCCGCGCAGCCCAAGAAGCCAAGGAGAAAGAAGCAGACAAACAAGAACTATTGAAGCTTTTGAAACAGCAGAATGGCGGCACTCTACCCCACGAAAACGCCGAGACAATCGCCAAGAAGGCATTCGACTCCAATTCAATCACCCCTGGAACGCCTTTCATGGACATCCTTGCTACTAGCTTGCGATATTGGTGTCAATATAAACTGAATACAGACCCTGGATGGGCGAAACTCAAGGTTTTGATATCTGATGCAACGGTCCCAGGAGAAGGCGAGCACAAAATCATGTCATTTGTTCGGTCGCAGAGGGCTTCCCCTGACCATGACCCGAACACACGCCACGTAATCTACGGTCTTGATGCAGATTTGATCATGTTAGGTCTCGCGACCCACGAGCCTCATTTCAGAGTTTTGCGCGAGGATGTTTTCTTCCAGCAAAGTAAAACAAGAACCTGCCAATTGTGCGGGCAGAAAGGCCACGAAGCTCGCAACTGTCGAGGCGAGGCCAAAGAGAAAGATGGCGAATTCGACGAGAAGGATAGCGCAGTTGAGTTGAAGCCTTTCATCTGGTTACATGTGGCTGTTCTTCGCGAGTACCTTGCCATTGAGCTCTCTGTCCCGAGTCTCCCATTTCGGTTTGATCTAGAGCGTGCTGTCGACGACTGGATTTTTATGTGCTGTTTCGTTGGAAACGACTTCTTGCCACATCTTCCCGCGTTGGAGATTCGGGAAGACGGAATCGACACATTGACAGCGATTTGGAGAGATAATCTTCCTTCCATGGGTGGCTACGTGACCAAGGACGGTCATATAGACATGGACAGAGCGCAGTGCATTCTAGATGGCCTCGCAAAACAGGAGGATGCCATCTTCAAAAGGAGAAGGGAGCAAGAGCAACGCCGAGAAGCCAACGCAAAGCGGAGAAAATTACAAAACGAAGCGAATTCAGCAAGGAATGGAGGCCCTGGGGGCAAAATGAACCCGAAGAATCAAGACCATACTGCGCCACATCTCCTTCACCCTATCGGCTCGTTTCCGCAAAAGCCCCCCGGTGCACTCACTCATGATATGATAGTCAACCGAGCTGTTGTCCAGGATGCCAATGCAGCTAATAAGAGCGCCGCGGATGTCCTTAAAAATCGACTGAAAGCGGAGAAGGCTCTCCCTCCCGCTGAGAAAGGAGCTGATACTCCTGAGAGCCCACCGTCGCTTGGCAAACGGAAAGCTGCCGAGTTTGAGGAGGATAACGGTAGTACCACCTCCGGGAACCAAACACCTGCCCCAGCAGCAGACGAGGGACCGACTGATACCGTTCGAATGTGGGAGGAAGGATACGCAGACCGATACTATGAGCAAAAATTCCACAAGGACCCTTCTGACATTGAATTCCGTCACCAGGTGGGTCGTGCATATGCTGAAGGGTTGGCATGGGTCCTGCTGTACTACTTTCAAGGATGCCCCTCATGGGAGTGGTATTATCCCTATCATTACGCCCCGTTCGCAGCGGACTTCAAGGACCTTGGAAAGATGGACATTCGCTTCGAGAAGGGACGAATTTCCAGGCCGTTTGAGCAACTCATGAGTGTGCTTCCTGCCGCCTCCCGTCATGCCATTCCCGAAGTCTTCCACCCGCTTATGCTGGAGCCCGATAGCGAGATCATTGATTTTTATCCCGAAGATTTTGTAGTTGACCTTAACGGGAAGAAATTCGCATGGCAAGGTGTGGCCCTGCTGCCATTCATTGACATGCCAAGACTACTTGGGGCTGTTCATAAGAAGTACCCGCTACTCAGCGCCGATGATACAAGGCGCAACGACATCGGCACAGACAACTTGTTGTTTTCGGACAGTCACGAGGGCATTTACGACGAGGTGTTGACTAATTTCTACTCCAAGAAGCAAGGGGCACCGCAGTTTAAGCTGAACTCAAAAACCAGCGGGGGCCTTACTGGCAAAGTCATCAAGCAAGAGGACTATGTGCCCCATGGGATGCTACAATATCCTTTGGATCGAAAGGCCCTTCCGGATCTTGACTATGATCGTTCTATAAGGTAAGCTGCTATTCCACCCCTGACTTATCTTAATTCTTTTCTTACCGCTAACTTTGACCCCCTTTCAAGTGTCATTTTTGAGATGCCAGTCACCACACATACGCATAAATCTATGCTCTTGCGTGGAGTCAAGTTGCCAACGGCCCAATTGACTCGAAGCGATATCGAAGTCATGAAAGGCAAAGCTCGAAGAGGTGGACGAAGCTACGGGGGCGCTCCCCTGGGTCGACACGACCAAGGTAATGGTCGAAGAGAGCCGATTCATTACGGATCAGAACCCCGGTACAACAATGGACCACGCGGAGGACACCGGGGCGGTGGGCGAGGCGGATACCATGGTGGCAATGGCTCCTACTCGCAATACGATGCTCCGGGTCGATCCTATCCATCTCATCCTCCAGCATGGCAGCCACCACCACCTGGGGCACCGGGGTTCGGCATGGGAGTTCCACCTCCCCCTCCTGGAGTGCACTTCCAGAACGGCCATCGCCAAAACCATGGACACTCTGGATCATATTCAGGGCATCGAGGGTCGAATGATCGTCGTGATTATCCGCCGCCTCCACCACAGCATTGGCAGAACGGACAAAATCGAGACTGGCGTGGCCAGCGGTAAAATGGAACATTTAGCTGTAGAGCCATATTCCTGCTGGGACACCAATTTAGTTGCTCCTTATCAGGTACCTACCTATATAGAAACACTAGCTAATGGCTAGCAAGTATATTTGTGAACCCCTTTTTTGTTTTCCCTCTTCATTTTGTTGATGTCATTGTTGTGGTGCTATATCGAGCTGTGATAAGGCCCTATCGTCGATAAGGCGGGAAGAAAGGGTTTTTGAAATTAGGAATAATAAGATTCGATTGGCAATCCTATGCTTCACAAGTTACCCTTGCCCTTGCCCCGGATGAATAGGGGACACGTTGTCTCTACACGTTGGGCGCAAATTGTGCCGCAGATGGTTGATTATGCCTAAGTAGGTAGGTAGGTACGGTGTATTCAATGAAAAATCGAACCCGTCGAGAAGTCCAGCAGAGCACTGGGGAGCTCAATTTATTTACCGACTCGTAGATTTATCCTTGCATGCATAGTTGGTGTGGGTAGCGCCAGTGGTGTCAGTGGTGTGCTGAAGTACCCGCAATTGGGCCTCTGACACGCGGGGTCTCTTCTTGGCTCGTCTGGGTTGGGGCTTCTTCACATTCATGCGCCCATTAATCGCTTTCTGTTCGTCTCGACTCTGACTTGGGGCAGAAGCACTGGTGCAGGGTTTGGAAACAGACAGCCTGTCACGAATTGCATCAACCGCACGGCTCTCGTACCGTTCCACTGCTCGCCTACCCCAGACTCCCACCACCAACGTCCCAACTTTGAGTGCTAGGCAAGCTCCGTAGTCTATCAGCCATTAGCGCCTTCGCATTCCGCGCAGCTCGTCACCTACTTGAAGAGCTCTCGAAACCGACTGGTAGTTATTCGACGCAAGGGCTGGGTCTCAACCCTCTCACCTGGCTGAGGTAGCTTGTGGGATCTGGACCTGGAGTCTCAGCAGCCGATCATACTGTGTCCACCTTCAATGCTTCAGCAATGGATGCCGATGCGAGCCTTGTCGGCTCCCTCGTCGACAGGCTGGCGACCAAGGTGAACACCAAAACCCCCTTGATCTCTAGCATTCCAATCTTTCGGTAGCTTACACTCCACTTGTAGTTACCTCATCGCACGGGAACTACTACTCAAGCCTTTCCTGACGACGGCATTCTCCCAATAACCCGAGCTACCCTCATTGAGTTGAGCAAGACCACGATTGAAACCGTTCTCGATCACCTCCTAGGCCTTCTTGAAACCCTCGCGCGCCCGTACGAAGCCGTATCCAAACATCCAGACCACGTACTGCTCTCCGAACTTTATATCTTGGCTCTCGCTGCCGATTGCTGTTCGGCAAAGTGGGGTTCTATTCGTCGCAGACACAGGGGCAAAGTCAAGAACTCGAGCGAAGAGGGCATTGGTGGAGGTTTGGATAATGACTATGACGACGATGACGATGACGACGACGATGACGACGAAACTGATGAACAAGAAGACGCAGCGAGCTCGGGCGTGGGAATTCCATACAATGGGGCATCAGGCCGCATACCTCTACCGCTCCCAGCTGCTCTAGTCAACCGCATATTAGACGCTCTCAAGATTCTACTTGAACCCTTTCCTGAGGAGTATATTTTGACTCCTCTTACCCTAGTTGGCCTGCATCACAGACGAAAAACTGCCGTCTCCCAGCTGCGAAGCTCGGAAACAGTTGCAAACGTTCTCAGCGCTTACCAGGCTGACCTGAATTCCAACATCCAAGTTTTGGTAGAATATGCTACTGCTTCTAGCTGGCAGTCCGCTTTCGACTACTTCCGAAATGCCATCTACAGTATTAGGTCTACTATTGTTAGTGGCGGACCTGATATCCCGAAGCCCTCCTTGGATGCAGAGCGAGATGCTTTGGTAGTGGTTCGTCTTCTGTCCTTCTCTTGGGTCGACAGCACAAGATTACGACTCTTGCTGCAAGAAATTTGCTCCAATTTTTTACATTTCCGGAAGCCATTCCAAAATACAGCTTGCATTGTGGTTCCTCTGCTCATCACCAAATGGATTGACCGCTTTCCGCATCAGATGGTACATCTTCATCTGCAACGAAAGAGGCTGGATGGCTCTGCGGATACATTGTTCGATATGGCTCAAAGAGTATCCGACAACGCCAAGCGTAGAGCAGTAACATGGCCTCTCCAGTGTAGTCTTCTATTTTTACTTCCGGATGTTTTTGACATTGCCAGCAATCTGAAGGAAGTCAAAAGCGGTGGTGTTGTTAAGAAAGTGACATTCCTAGAGGGCCTGAAGAAGTCTCTCAAGAATGGGCATGAGATTGCCGCCCATTGCCTGGTTTCGATCCTTCGTGTAGCTCGTCACTTTGATGCTGAGAGTGACTCTGCTCTGGTGAGCTACGCGATGGATGTTCAAGATGAAGTGCGCGAGGCAGTCTTCCGCAGTAACAGTTCTTCCATATCGCCATCCATGGGGGAGGTGTCTGAGAACGGGTTGTCCGACCAAGACACCATCACTGTCGCTTTTGTGAGCTTGGCACACTTAAACCTTGGAGGATCGTTGGGCAGTCTTGTTGAAACCTGCATTTCTCCATCTGCTCCAAGCAACTTCAAGATCGCCGCTGTTCAGAGTTGCCATTATTTCGCACAGCAACCACAGGGGTATCAGTACCAGGAGTTATTCCGGCTAGTTGTCCCGTTCATGAAGTCACAACTGGAGGTAGGCCTTCCTTGTCGTCGTCTGACGGCTCAGCAGCTAACTATTTTGCACAGGCTGATAGCATGCAAGCATTGACTCTCAACTCATCCTCTGATTCTAGTAGCACGGATATGATTTGCAGCATCTTGGAGTTTCTTAATGCATCACCTGACTACCTATTGAATGATCTAACAAACTCAGGCAGTCATACCGGTTTCTTCAAACCATTCTTGCTTTGTGTGCTGTCTCCTAATGCTTCTGTGCGACATCTTGCCATGACAGTCGCCGACAGCCTCTTCAACAAGAATCAAGAACCCTTTAGATCATACTACAAGGAACATAAACTAGACTCCAACGAGCTTTGCAAGGATATATGGAGCCGAAGGTACACAAGAAAGCCGCCTTCTAGGATTGCCAAACCTGTTTACACACACTAACAACGACACTAGTTCTAAGGTGCTTCTCAACTTGTGCGAACGCCTTGGTTCGCAAACCAACGAGTCCGATCTGGATACACTTCACGGCTGCTTGAGCGCTCGCCTTCTCTTGCTAAGAAACCTTCCGGTACGTGACAGTGATTCTCCGATGCTCCAATGCTTCTGAAACTTATCACACAGTCCAGGATTTGTCCGACGTTCCACACAACATATCCGAGGTAGTTTCTGCCTCTTCAAAACTCGAAACAACCTTGCTCGTGTCGCTTTGTTCTTCCAATTCCGAAACTTGTCAACGAGTGGCTTCCTGCATAGGGACATTCCTAGAGGAGTGTTCTATCGTCGATAAGCAGGTCGAGTCTGCCAAGGCATCTGCGTCGCTCCTTCGTAATGGCGACGTCTTTCGGGAAATCGCCTCCCCTGATTTTAGGTTTACGGGTCTCGTGGCTTTCCAGAAGCGTATCCGTGGCTTATTACGGCGGATACAGTTTCCCACAACGGGGATTATCAATGCATGGGAGACTGCCTTTGACCGGTGGATTCATCTGGCCAAAGAAGTATCCACTACTGCTTTTGATGCAGTTGATGACCAGGCCTGGAATGACTGGCGCAATTATTCCGGGTTTCTGGCCTCTCTCGGCGGCATCTGCATTGCAGATCAGGCTATGATTCAAGAAGAACCGGCCTTGGGGGGCTTGAGGTGGATCGATCGGCTTTCTTCAGAAAGCTACGAGGAAACCTTTTTGACACGATACCTACGATTAAGCATCCAGCTCCTCGCATGCTCCAATGTCAGGGTTCGTGAAGCAATGCGCGAGGTTCTGTCAACCGAGGTATCGCCGGCACTCTATCAGTCATTGTTTAGAGCGCTGGAGTCGGAGCTTGAGGTTCTGTTTACTGGGGCTCTTGCCGCGGCCGATAAGGGTCAGGACAGTGAAATCATTTTCGCTGAACAGAGCGCCTCGCTTCTCCGAGCTCTGGTGGAGAGACTTGAGAGCCCTTCCGATCTCGGTGCCGCGTCATCGATACATCTTGGCAGCCTGACACTCAACTTCGCAAAGTTCCTAGATGGTGTTTCTGATACTCCAGATACGCTCCGGGTGAAAATTCGAGTGTGTCATTTAAGTGAGGCTGTCACAAAGAGGAAAGAACATTTGATTATCCGAGACGATGTCCGCATCAGAAATCAGCTCCTAGAATACCTCTTCGGCTGGGTAGCTCGTCCGCGATCTCCATATATGGAACAGAGTTTCAATAATGCTCGTCCGGATGATGTGTCACGCCTTCAGAGGGATCTTGATCGGGCATGTCTGAAATCATTGGCTGATCTTACCTACCGGTTACCTCTCCAGGCTTCAGATAATCAGACGGATGCTGGAATGAGTGAGATGAAGTCTCGCATGTTCCATACTTACTTTAACCAATTCCTATCGCTCTTGAATTATGATTCCGCCGAAGCGAATCGAGCGGAGATGTCTGCAATAGGTCGAGAGGAAGGTATTCCCAGTTCCGATCTGGCAATCTCAATTCTTTCAAATTTGCTTAGTGCGAATATTGATGTTGGGTTGAAGCACTCGCTTAGTATCGGCTATCACGGGAAGCTTGAGATCCGAACAGCCTTTGTGCGTGTCCTTTACAATATTCTAGTTCAAGGAACTGAGTTCAATAATTTGACCGATTCCGCTGTAAGCGAGAAATATGAAGAGCTTCTGGAGGTCAGTACAGCCCGAGCATTGCTTGATTTCATGAGCATATCCTGATGTTTGATATCTAGTTATTGACAAAAGATTTGTCTCTTGCCATGGCAATGAGTTCTATTTGCCCTAGTAATGAGGTGGATGAACTCGCAGTTTGCCTATTGACCATTTTCGAACAGAGGGGACTTACCTTCGAGCTCTTTGATGCGCTGATCAAGTTGGAAGTTGAAGAAACTGGTAAGCAGATACACATATACCCCCTGGTATACTAAGCCTTGTGGCTAACATGCTGAAAAGAAAATGAGTCGGAGCTACTGCGGCGTACTTCGGTAGCAACCAAAATGCTCTCTATTTATGCCAAGTGGAAGGGGTCTAAATATCTCAAAGACACTTTGCAAAAAGTTATCGAGAGACTTATGTCAACATCAGAGGATCTTGATCTTGAACTTGATCCAGCCCGGCTTAGTTCCGCGGAAGAGGCGCAGAAAAATGCAAAGCAGCTTAGAATCGTGGCCAAGGTCTTTATTGAGCACATCCGCGCATCATCAACCAAGATTCCACCACCCTTTCGCAAAATATGCCACTTGGTAAGCGTTGGCAACCATTCTTCCAGATGAGTTAGTGAAGTAGCTAATGGCATAGATTGTGAGTGCTGTCGAACCTCGATTCCCCGAGGCCAAGTACACAGCAGTTGGCGCGTTCATATTTCTTCGCTTTTTCTGTCCCGCGATCGTTGCTCCTGATGTGGAGGGGCTGGTTTCGACGGCGCCCTCCCGAGAGATGCGTCGAGGGCTCCTTCTCGTCGCGAAGGTAATTCAAAACCTTGCCAACAACGTGCTTTTCGGGGTGAAGGAGCCCTATATGTTCTCGCTGAATGAGTTCCTCGTACACAATGTCTTCGATATCACAAGGTTCTTGCACGAAATATCAGTAAGTACATGTTTTTGAAGCTGGGATTTCCTCTCCCCTTTTTACCCTGTATCTCACCTTTTCTAGGTTCCCCCAGATCGCATTGATCACCGACCGGCAGCAGATTTGTTTGACTTCGGCTCGTGTGTGGCACTGCATCGCTTTCTTTACGATCATTGGGATCATGTTCGCCAAACCCTTGTATCTAGGGAAAGACGAGAGTATGTGCGGTCTCCCGGAGAGCTCTCTCGTGGACGGTCCCCCATCCTAGAACCATTTCGCAACCTCATCTCTAACCTTGGGCCGCCCCCGCTTGCCATATCGTGGAATCGCCCAGGGATTTCATCTAATAACCCACCGCTATATTCTCGTTTCCAAAACTTCATGCTACGGAATGCCTTCAAGGGGTCCGAATCATTCCTTACCGCCCGTGCAGTGTATGATGGAGGCGAGAGCAAGGTGAGCACAACCCATAGGAGCGATGGAATATGACTGAAGTTCTGACATGAACGATGTAGGACGGCCTTTCCATTATTTGTGTTATCCTTCGAAATATTGAATCAGAAGGAATTGATTATGATACCCTATTGTTCTGTTACTTCAAGGTACTACGATGACGTTCCCAGTATTCACAGGGTCTTCTCACTAACTCAAACTCCTTGTAGCTTGCGAGTAGGCTCTGGCATGAGCCATTTGGACTTTTCATCGACGCCACCTGTTTTAATGGCCGAAACGAGCCACAAGACGACATATTCCGTATGCTTGAGTTACTGACACCCACGGAACTGTCACGAAGTCTTTCACGTGTGTACATTTACAATATGAACAGCGCCTTCAAGTAAGTAACGCTGATTGCTCTTGACTTAATCTATTCCCTGGTCTAACAGATATACTTTCCTAGGCGATGCTTTCGGCGACTTCTACGTGTCAGCACGCGAGGTGAAGGAAGCGTTTTCCACCCAAAAAATGTCGAGTATCACCTCATAGGTAGTCTCCAAGAGCTTCAGGCGCATTTCCAGCTTAACCAGCTTCAACTACCCAAGGAGACCATCAGTGTCGTGACAGATACCCGGTACATGTATCAGCCAGTTACACGATTATCCAGATCAAAAGGCAACATAGAAGTTGCTATTAAAGTCGGAAGCCAGTTCGTGCAGATCACAACAGCAAAAAAGCAAGAGGTCTTCGCAGGTTTCCGCCTAAGCACTATAGTAAACGATATTTTCCGTCTCGGGGACATCGACGAAACTGCTGCGTCAATCCAATCTGAGGATGATTCAACGTTTGGCCTGCGGGCTGACAATGGGAAGATTGTCATGTGTTTTACTAGTCCGAAGAAGGCGGACATTGTGATGAGCATTCGGAACGCGAAGACGAAATACGGCAAAGACAGCAGGTCCCACAAACCTCCGGAAAGGCTGATTCGACCACAAGATGTTCCGGGAACTCTGCTAAATCTCGCGTTTACCAACCTCTCGAGTCCTGACCAGACACTCAGGCTGTCATCTTATAACCTGCTCGGCGCTCTTTGCAAGGCTTTCAAGTTCAGCTCTGCCTCCAGATTGGTCTGCACCCGAGGTCAGTTTAATGATATGGCTATAACTGATGGATGGTCACAATACTAATGCTTCAATAGATGTCTCAATCCCTCCCGATTCAGTTCAGTTCATCGTCGAGATCAGTAAGCAGCTTGCTCAAACAGAGCCGCAACTGACGTCGGACTTTCTCACCGAATTCTTCGTTGGATGGGAGAATGTTCCTGAACACCAAAAAGCACAAAGCTTGGCCTATATGGCGCCATGGTTGCCCGGACTTCGAACAAGCGTATTGGTCACCGAAACTGATCCCGATAAAGGTCGGGAAAGGGTTGCGATACTCTTCCGGAAACTCATCGATGTGGCCATTCTCGATCATACACTTGTCTATACTTTGGAACAGGTCGTGTGGCCAGAGGTCGCCGATGACGAAGTGCTGTTGGACATCTTTTTAGATGAGCTTATGAAAACGGCAATGGGTTATGGAGTTCATGAAGAAACGCTTGACATTATATCATCCATTGTAGTTGGGATTGGAAGTGTAACGCTTCGTGGAAAGGTAATGGCCAGACTTCGCAAGGCTCTCAACCGCTCATCATACAGACCAACAAAATATCTTCCAGATAATGCAGCCTGGGCAGAGATCTGTATGCTTCTCCAGTTTTGCCTTGCTCTGTCATTCAACCATGGAGTGCAGACACAGCTATTCTTGCCCGAGGTGTTTCACATTGTAACCATGCTATCAAATACTGGCAATCACGCTGTAAGGATGCTGGTATACAAGCTGCTCATCAACTCGGTGCACGCGGCCTGCACCTGCTTCGTTCTGGATGATGCCAAGGCAAGCAGGCTGAGAGCAACTCTTGAAACTCTCTGTGAGCCCCGAGGAGACATTTTCCCAACACATCCGACTTTGACTCGCGAAGGGGCCTCTATCTCCACTATCCAAGACTCGGGGGCCACTCTCGCAGCAACAGAGCATCTGGCTGCCATCTTGTTCGATGTTTGTTCAACCGCCGCTCCCTCAGTTGATATTTGCAATGCATGGCGGTCACGTTGGATGAGCCTGGTTGCCAGTACCGCATTTCAGAACAACCCAGCAATTCAGCCTCGAGCATTTACCGTTATGGGATACTTGGCACGAGAAGAAGTAGATGACGATCTGTTATACCAGGTTCTTGTGGCATTGCGCAACAGTGTTAATCGCTTTGATGAGGAAAGCAACAGTGAAATGCTGGTGTCCATCACCACATCTCTCTCCAAGATGATGGCCAAGCTGCCGTCTGCCTCGCGGTATGGCCTGCAGCTCTTTTGGCTTGCCATTTCACTCGTTCGATTGGTCCCCACGACGTTATTTAATTGCGCTGCCCAATTTCTTGAAGCAGTGTTGACGAACATCGGCTCTGCTGGTGATGTCCGGGGTCAGGAAATGGTTGAGCTATTACTCCAAGGCAGAACGCAACTTGAAGAAGCAGCACTTCTTCTGGACGAAACATATGGCATTTACTTTAACCAGGAGAACTTTCATTTCGCGGTGTGTGCCTGTGTGGCCCGTGGCCTCACTGACACCATCACAAGGCCTTCAGCACTTCGTGTGCTTTCCTCCTTCTTAGCAATGACGACCTGGGTACCGGGCCCTGGAGCGAATAATAGTGATGCTATCGCTTCATCTCCATATCTCGCACTGATTCGCGCGAGGGCAGTCAGCCCCGAAGAGCTCAAGGATAGCCTGTGGCTCGCGGGTATCAGCCCTGAGGAAGCTGATGTTGCGCTAGGGACTACCCAAGACAACCGAAACGTGGATAATTTCGAGGACGACGAGCTTTTGCTGATTACAGCCATGGAAATGGTCGATTTCCAGTTTTTGGAGGATACAGTTCAGGCGCGCAGTCTCCAGTGGTTAAACGAATTGGCACAGGCGCGCCCACAAGTCATGCTTCATTTGTAAGTTACGAGCACGTCCAGTGCATGGGTAATTTGTGAAACGGTAGCTAACTAGATTGATTTAGGTGTAGCACGATGCGCTCAATCCTCGACGACGTGCTGCTACATGGGCAGAACGCCACTACACTGGATGCTGCGCATACTCTACTCCGCACATTGTCATCTGATAGGAGATATGTGCGGCAATTAGACTTAAATACCAACGTCGCAGATGTCCTTGAAGGCAAAGGGTTTGGAGGGCTCTGGCAGTCGTGCTCAATGGGTTCAATGGAGGACTACCAGCGCGACTGCTTCGAGCTGACGGAGAAGCTGATTGAGGTAAGATGAAGCTCCATCTCGTTGAACGTTTTTCGGCCGAGGCTAACCATTTATCCAGCTCATTATAATTTAAATTAGACGACACAACATAGCTACGATAGGTACATAAATTAAATATCCATGCTTATTAGAAATGAAGTCTATAATTTCTAATTTTTCACTCACCCTTGCTCCGTCATGTGTGTCCTGAGATGCTCCACGCTGGACCATCGATTGCTACTTGCCTATCTAACAGACCATTGGTTCCTCAACAATCGCAACAGATACAATGGATTCATATCTCTCACCGTGCCTAGCCTGGTATATATGGGGTAAATAATCCTCTGAGGGTAGACCCAAAACGTTTCTAATTATTGGGATCGTTTTTGGCTGGGAAGGCAGCTTTTATCTGCGTCCTTCCTCATTAATGTCGAAAGAGTATCGTACACAAGGATGCCATAGAAGAGATTTCGATGACAACCCCGGATATCATGGTAAAATAAGGGTGTATTACGTGTGATCTTTTTGCTTGTTTGCTACTAATATGATCTGGAACCTCGGCTGAAGAACTATGTGTATGCTACACTGTCATTGAGGTAACAATGGGCAGGTGTCTGCACGGGTGGCACCGTGACCATATAAAATTTCCGCAGCTCTCAAAATTGGCACCAATCAATCCTGAACCATACGAATTTCGGCATTTATTGACTGTCACAACCTATCCAAGACCTCTTAAACTGAATACGCACTGGAAAGGCATCCTCTTCCTTTGATATAGGCCGCTAGTCTGTGTATCTACATCCCCACAGACATCTTTGCCGATTTCCATCACAGAGTATTATAGTACATCTCAATAGACTTGACCTTAAACACTGCGTCTTGTGCAGGTGGGCCCGCCGACCAACCGATGTCGCCGTTGGACCAGTTGTTGACGGCAAATACGCAGCCTTGCCATGGGATGTTCTTGTCCGTCTCAGCCACCTTGACGGCATCGACATACCACTCGACGCGGTCGTAGAGCCAATCGATGCGGTACTCGTGCTCCTCGAAGGGATTGGCGGGCTTGGCCACAGGAATGGACGTCTTGTCAGCATCGTTACCGTTGACAGCCTGGTTGGTCATCCACAAGTGGTTGACGCCGCGGTCGGACGTGTTGCTGGGGTCTGAGAGCCACTCAATATCGGACTCTTGCGTGTTGCCGCCATAGGTGAACATGCCTGGGATTGATTAGTGCTGGGACGGCCACGGCAGGCGTCACGGGTCAAGGTACATACCATTGCAAACACCATGGGTCTCAGTCAGGATAGCAACGGTGCGGAAGCTGCCATATGCAATATTGCTTTCGAGCGTGTCCACCTCAGCACCGACATACTTGGTGCCGGCCGGCGGGTTCTGGCCACCAGGGACCCAGAGCTCCAGATACCCGTTGTTGAACTTGGCGTTTGCCTTATCAGCCCGCCAGTTGAGACCGGTATCCCAGTTGGCGATCTGCAAGCCATCGGGCAGGCCATTCTCAAAGGTGTACTTGGCCGACTTCCAGAAAGAAATGCCGGATACAACCCAGGCACCGTCCACCTGGGGCGGGACAGGGGACAGGGTCAGGGCGGCGGACAGGCCAGCGCTGAGCACAAGGCTCCAAGCCGATTTAGTGAATGCCATACTGAAGATTCGGAAGACAGCTACCTCGAGAACAGGCTCACAGAATCCCTTTGTGTGTCATGTCGGTGTCTGCCATCTGCCTATATATACCTGCTGGACAGGTGCGGGAAAGCAGCGTATACGCATTGATCTTGGCAGGAGGCGCAAGTGCCGGCTACAGCTGACATGGATCGCCTCGAGAGATTTGCCAGGGGTATTTGCTGACATCGAGACGCATTAGGCTTTGGCGTCCTCTCAGCTGCCTCTTCAATGCTGCGGAGGCGGCAGGGCTACAGCCAAAACAGAGTGGCGTAGGATTCTCACTTGTGGAGCTCTCGGACTAGCCCAGGGTGAAGAGCGCTTCCAGAGTTCCGGATGGCAAGGAAGTTGAGTGAGACCTCGTATGATGGATGGGAATGTTCAGGACACCGCTTTCCCTAACGCGATCCTGGCCTCAGTGTCGGATGACGCCGCTGGTACTCAACGTTAGTTTAACGTAAGAGATTCGATGTGAATATGGAGGTCATAATAATACAGAGGAGTGGCCATTTGCCCTTGCTCAACTGCCCAGTGGGGGTGATTATGCACGGGTTCACTTGCATAAAGACACGCTGGTTTGGGATTTCAGCTTTGACGATATTCATCATGAGCACATGATGTTGTTTTCTCCGCTGGGGGCAATCAGTGCAGACAAAGGCTCCAGCAGCCTGTCACAAATCAACTGGGCTTGGAGAAAATTCAAGAGCATACAGCCATAACCGAGAGACCCTACCTTCAATGTTGTGCCAATTGGTAGCAATTCTACGTTGATTAAACGAACCCGCCTTGCCACTCATTTTGTTTCAGCATCAATTGCGGGACTTTAGAAGAGATAAAATTAACCGTCTAGGAAATAATATATTAGTCTACTGGTGAGACATCTGATTTCTCTCAGCTACTCTCTAAGTTGGTCTGGCCCTGAAGTACTTTTTTAAGCATACCTCAGCCGAGTAGCGCTTGTCAGGGTCGATTCGTGCCATCTTGCGAAAGCTGTAGGCCTCGGTCTCTTCATCATCCGCAAATTCTTCAACAAGCTCGATCGGATGGAACTGGCTGTTGGCTGACGCGCTGCACTTTCTGGATCGCCTTCGCCAGTCCTTCTCATCCAAGATCTCCAGCATGGTTACGAAAAGGGCCCATATATCGACCTTGGGCGTGTTGGGTCGTCTCTGAAAGATTTCGGGTGGCCTAAAGAGCCGAGTACCACCGCATTCTTTATCCACACCACCCTTGTATGCCTGGCCGAAGTCGCAAAGAAAGAAGTCGGGCGATTCTAGGCTGCTCCCCATGGAGTAGAGGATGTTGCCCGGTTTCACATCATGATGGATCATATTGTGAGAGGCGACACAAGCAAGTGCTTCGAGCATCTGGCGCAGGACCCTCCGAGCGAGATCAATACGTGATGTTCCGGGGTACTTCTTAAGAAAAGTAGCGAGCGAGCCGTCTCTCAAGCCCATGAACATCTTGATTGACCCAGTGTCGTGACCGCTGGAGCCGTAAAACTCTACAATACGGGGCTACCCAGCCAGATATTGTTAGCAACAGTAACCTCAGTAGGATAGTGAATGGCTTGGAGAACTTACATGGTGGATCTTTGAGAGTGCTTTAACCTCCCTTTTCATAGACTTCTAGTCTCGAATGTCGGAAGGCACTCTCTGCTTGAGCTGTTTGACAGCCATGAACTCGCCTGTAAACAGGTTGATTCCCCTGCTTACCATCCCGAACCCGCCGGCACCAAGGTCGTCAATTTTGGTCCATTTGATGTTAGCGTTCCAAATGGAAGGTGATTTGGATTCTGGCCGGGTGAGCCTAGGCGTGATGCCACCACCACGCACTCCTATTTCTTGGTTGTCAGTAGTGCCATGAGGCAAGGGAAGCGCTTGGGCAGCGGCAATTGCACCTTGGGGATGTCTGTCATTCCAAACAATATTAAATTGAATGACGCCTTCGTGGCCCAGCTGTATTTGGGTATTAACACGTGGTAAAATAACCACGCGGCGCGGCAAGTTGGGTGGAAAGTCGGTTGCATTAGATCCGACAAAACGACTCGTGCTCCGAACTGAAATGTCATTGAACATGATGACCCCTGTGTCTCGGTTAATCTCGAAGAAGCATTGGAAGACGGAAATTGACGGGTCGTACAAGCAGACGTCGAGACGATGCCGTCCAATGCACGCAAGTATCTTTGAGCCCCATACAGACGTTGCATGGCCGATTTCAAGAACGACCGTCCGTATTCATCAATGGCCTGGAGGGGACTGTTCTCGGCGTCTTTGAAAAGTCTTTCTGTCCTCCTATTAACGGGTTCAAGATGGAAAAGAACATTGCCTCGCTCCCCAACCTCGGGCATGCCATCCGTCTTGCGTCTGCCACTTGTCTTGCGTTGACCAGTCATCTTGCGTTGGCGACTGAATATCGGGGCGATGAGACTTGTCAACGTAGGTTTTAGATGTTAAGTTATCAAAGAGGTAAAACTGGCTTCCGAAGAAAGGGTAATACGAATGTGGTGGAAGAAGATGCCCGAGCTCGAAGAGGATGAGAGTGGTTTTTATAGCCCAGCTCCCCAAGCTGCAGATCCTCTATCAATGGATATGGTGATAATGAATAAGTCATAGACACAGTGAGAGCTCAAATACAACGATAGATATGATCCGAAGGCAGGCGTAACAATAGGAGCAATTGAAGCACAACAATAGACATGACGATAACAAGTAAAGTGAGCAAATTCTCAGATATACAATACCCGACACACAATAGCAAGTTTACTATCGTAGCTGATAATTGCACATCACGTCTCTAGGTGAGAGAAACTCATTGGACACGTAGGTATTGTTTGTGTAAATCCGCCCCTGGGGCATCTATCAGCCAGTCCCAACACAATGAATTCTGAAGCCATATTCAAGCTTCATTGCCCAACCTAGTTGCCTTTCAAATCCATGTATCAAGCCTTGATGTAACCCATTTATTAATCACTTATATACATATGCCGCGCATTCGTTTATTCTTTCTCAGACCCAACATGATATAAATAACGTCTAAGCACGTGATCAATACAAAGCTTTGAGATTGGCCAACTCGCTGAATTGACTAAGCAGGTGTCATTTGCTATTCTCGTTGACGATAGTCATCTCGTCCCAATGACCCCTGGGGGCTTGACTTTCGTAAATCAGATTGTGTGGTATTGGCAATGGGGAGCTCGAGGCTCGCGATCATCATCAGTGCGAGACCTTTGCTCTTCTAGTTAGTTTCGCAAGCTACCTTCCTCTTCTGGTTGATTGAATGTGGCAGGGGCTTGGAAGTCACCAGGTAACCAAACTTCTAGTCTGCCTACCATTTGCCCTATGTCAACTCTTAGCTAATCTATTGAGGCTTTGATCAGAGAGGATCTATGTTGACCAAGCGTGTTTATAGCTATCCAAATGCGACCTTTTCCAGAAACAGGGAAAACGAAGAAATAGCAGATCTCGAATGTGCTATATGATCTGTAACTTACTTCCTCGTGCTGGCTGGGGAAATTTTAATACAAAGCCCGGAGGGGAAAGGGAAACAATGAAATATAGGCAATTGTCGAAATATTTCTCGAAGGCGTGTTGCGTACACCGGATGCAGGTTAGAGCGGATCATACAACCCGAAGATACAACATATCCAAACTCATGTTGCCCAGGGATTCCATTCTATTGTTGTTTTAGATGGTCCGTTTCCACACGTCTTTGAATATGCCGCTGGTGGCATAGACTGCCAGAAGACTGGCCAGCGAATCAGGGAGCAGGCCTCCATCGACGCCCCAGTGCACCGTCACAGGAGCCCACGCCAGGTTGATCAGAAACTGGCTCCTCCATTGTTGCATGTCCTGTCCTCCTTCTTCTTGTTCCTTAGGTGGTGTTGCATCTCCTCGTTTTGCCATCCTTTTGTACTCTATAACGCCCCGGGCTAGATCAAGAAAGGTGAATACGGCCCACGCTCTAACGGCTGCAAATGACAGCTGGTTTTGTCTTTTGGGTGGCAGAGTTAGGATATTTTTTGAAGCCAAGCATGCTGCCCCCTCGCTTAAGTGGAAGAAGATCATTGAAAGGTGCTGCAGGCCTTCCAGCGCGATGTCTTTGCGGTCAACGGCGAGGTTTTCCTTTTTTCTCCTGCGTACTTCCCGAAGAAACTTTCCAGTCCCAACAAGCACATCGAGCAACCCAAACATTCGATTGATCATCTGCCACTCGTCCAGAAATCCCGCCAGGGTTTGAAAACGACCAGCGGCTTTGGCCATCCCAGGGCTAACTGCCTTAATCCACGCCGACTGTGCAGAAAGCCGCGAGATGTGGGAAATTTTAGAGAGTGACTCTTTCAATAACTCAAGCAAAACCGCAAGTAAGCGAGATGTCTCGCCCATGAATAGAAGAAGCGCATCTTGGCCTTCACGCGATTCAACGGCTTGTTGAAGACGGCATAGAAATTGAGAGAGAATGACAGCCTTCCTTTGAAGGACAGATGAAGAGGATGTGGTCATAATGGTTTATGATATTGGCAAATATCTGAAATACAAAATAAAATACAATGAACAGAATGAATATCAATGAGCCTGGTGAGTCTCTGAAGCATGTAGAATCCCAGGGCGAAGGGATTTCCGAGATTCCGATACTCAGGTAAGGCCGTTCCGAAGCCACATGTTGAGCGCTATCTTGATGGAGCCAGCGCCCAATCAGAACGTGAAGCGAGTTAGAGACACAATTTTATTCTGGCAGCAATCATCGTACTTCCGCCACAAGGACATCCTACCATTCGAGACTATTCTCTCATGTCAAATTGCAGAGTAGCTGGGGCCTCTCCAAAATCGGGAAAGGCGAAAAAGGGGGCTTGCTTCCATGTATGGCCATAATTTTCCGTGGCTTCTGGTTGGTTAGTATTTTCCCCAAACAATGGGGCGCATGCAAGCAGTTACTTGAAGCCATTATTTTCATTGAATTGGAGTAGATTAGTATATATTATTATGCTTTGGGAATGAAATCCTTTGGCTAACTTAGCCGTACTGTTCCTATGTTATCGGCTCAGGCAACCGTTGGGCTCTTCAGCTTCACGCCAACAATCTTGTCGAGGTTCCACTCCTAAGAAGTAAGAGTAGTATTCACTGTGTTGAGCTGGTCGGGCCCTGGCAGCTTCATTGTTGTTAAAGTTTATTATTCGTATTCTCCCACGCAAGAAGTAAGAGTAGCAACAAAATATAGCTGTGAGGTGAAGCCTCTGGGCCAGTGGTCTGTGGTCTGTGGCTTTACTTAAACTTTTAGACAGGACAGCTTGAAGGGAACTCACGTTTCGATGAAGAAAAAGCAAGCAATGGTAACAAGTGGCCGCGCAACGTCAAGAACAGTGGTGCTCCAGCAGCTGGAATACATTATTTTGCGTCATTTCTACCTTTCAGAACCACGATTAACCTCTTGAGACCGCGACCTTAGTCAAAAATCAATCGTGTCACGTGTGTAATTGCTCGAAGCTGCAAGATTTTTTGATAATTAGGGACAGGTATTTGCGACGTTGGTACAAATTCACACCGCAGAGAATATTCTCTAGAGATATTGCAGTGAGTATAGGCACCAATAAGCGTCATAACATCAAAAATAATGAAACAGAAGTGTAGATTAGCCAGATTTGCCGCTATTCAACGAAGAGACAGATGAGTAGCGATCAGAAAATCAAGAAACTGAAAGCTGATGATCGCCGATCAAGCGAGAGACAAGAAGCACTAGGAAAGTGATTTTCAGGATAACTGCCGATTAGTTGCCACATTCAGTGACCGCGAATTCAACCTTGAAAATATCTCATATTCCGATTTCAAAGCAGGATTTCTTATCGCCAGGGAGGCTCATGTATTAGGGCTTATGTCCGATACTAAGGCTGAGGCGCAGCTTGCAGCATATGTCTCGGCGCTACTGTGAGCGATCCCGACAAATATAGCTCACTCATCCGTTCAAGGTGTCTCATTGCGATACATCATAACTTACCAGAGCCTCAGTACTACCCTCTCTTTTGTTTCGGGTCAGGGCCCGAGAATGTATAAGAGTGACCCCAAAGGAGCAACAATGTCCTCCAATGTCGATATTTACACCTCCAACTCAGGGGCTTTCTTGATGCACTGGGATCGAAAAACACACCTGTCGACATAATGACAACCGCAAATCTATCCAGACTGGAAGGTGGACCAACCGTAACCGCCAGTGTCAGTATTTGGAAGGGCTGGTGGCCGGAATGCGGTTTCTGTATTTGCGGCTATGTAACTTTCACTGGTACGTGGACTATTAATTGGGTACTGAAGGGATGACATTTGCTCAAATGCGCAGTTATTGTCGTCGTGCTCCGGATGTACGATCAGAAAAACCGGCCAACATGGCCACTTGATATCACACTGAATGCTTTCCTCGCTCTCTTATCGACTACATCTAAGGCTTCTTTTATGATATCCATCGCCGAAAGTATCAGCCAATGGAAGTGGAACATATATAATAACACGAAAGGGCGCATTATTCACGATTTTGAAGTGGTTGACCTCGCAAGCCGCGGCTTTTGGGGTTCTTGCTGGCTGATCGGTCGGTTCAGGTGGCGGTAAGTCTTCTTTAACATAGAAAAGAGGGAGTTTCATTCATTAAATGCACATGACTAGACACCCAATTTCACTTGCAGGAGTGATATCGATAGCAAGTGTCCTGACATCACCTATCACCCAGCAGGCTCTCACTTTTCCAACAAGGCCCATGGGAGATGAGGGCCGTGGCAAGATACACGCTGCCATTCATTGGAATCCTTCGCGAAATTTCCAATTCAATATCGCCGGGTAAAAATCAATAATAAATGGACTTCAGTCAAGCCCGGATATTCAGCCAATGCCCTTAGTAGCGAGCTGTCCAACAGCAACCTGCTCCTTCAAAAAATACCTCTCACTTGCAGTATGCGCCAAGGTCAAGGACGTCGGTCAGTTTCTAAATGTCTCTACAATAGCCTCTGGCGAAGGCGGATTTAAGGATAACAGTCATACACGAACATACTCTGCCGCGCTACCAAATGGGATACACTTGAGAACCACGGTCACGTATTCTCTGTGGACCCAGTCAGGGAACGCTTCATCACTTAGCTTCCATGAAGACGCAGGATACCCAGCAGCGTTAGCAAATCACTTCATCATCCATTCCCGTGCCGCTGACAACGACAGTAGCCCCTTTTTACCAGAGAGCACTGACAAGACACGACGCCACCAGCATCAGCAGCCCGAATTTGGTGCATTGGAAGTATTGATATATATGTGTATCAATGAGTACGATACTAGCGTAAAAGAAGGAAAGTCCCGTACACAACAGAAAACATTGCCATCATCTCTCTTAAAAGATGAACAAGGTACAGTTAGGGAGATCCCAAAGCTTCACTGTCCTACTCTTAGGTCGGGCTCAGACACTGTTGATTGCATTATACCCAGCACATACAACTCTCAGGAGGCAAGTACAAACTTGTCCTTTGCTCCTGGGATAGACCAAAATCAAGAGTACGTCAACTACAAAAATACGAAAGAAAGCTTCAGTTTCACTTTTGGAACCGCCGTAACGACCTCTCGATCGCTCAACTCGTTGATGCAGGGAATGGCAACCTGGGAAAAAGACGGCGGGAACACAAAGAGGGATGGATACAGCAGTTTGTGGCTCAAAGGTGCAATTTATGGACGCGATAGGGATATTATCAACCCCGAAAAGCAGCTCGAGAGGGTTCGGGCTTATTTTGATGGACTTGCAACTCAAATGACCAACCAGTAAGTTTACACATTGTATTTTCTATCCGTGTGTTAACTCCAACTTGTGATAGTATCAGGTCAAAAGCATCAACCGAGCCTATTCCCGGTACGGCTTGGAGAGAAGAGGTATATGTACATGTGAGATGGGGTTGGTTGGGGTTCTTGGCAGGTGAGGTCGTCTTATCCACCATTTTTGTCATTTCCACAATAGTTGCGACAAGGAGATCTTGCGTGCCAATTCTAAAGAGCTCTGCAACTGCCACGTTACTTGTGCTAGACAGAGGGCTTCGGGATAGCTTGGGGACGGCCGCGGACATTCATGATGCTGAATGCAGAGTAAAGCAAGTCTACGTGACACTGGAGACAGGTGTCCTTGTACGCGCTTCAAGTCCGAATGAACGAGCAACTGTTTAGACTTGCCCATACCGGGAGAGTCTAGGAAATACTATAAAACCGAATAAAGCCAGAAAAAGTAATAGGAAGAGTAGAGTATGTGAGTCATGCCCAGCCAATTGTAGGCCGATACACGGGCCATGTTACATGATCGCTGACGGTCGTCGCATCTTGCCTGTTTCAGCCGCCATTGATATTGATGCGGCGCTTCTCCGCTCGATCCACCGGCAGATATAAATGACCAAAGACTCATCCGGCCGTTCTCCCAATCGCAAGTCACGCAAGGATAGTCATGGCACCAAAGGAGCGGCCGTGGGATGACGACGCCGTTGTGGTCAGTCGGAACGACTTGCGCGACTTCAACGAAGAAGGGCTCATTCCCCTCCCTGACGAGAAAGTGGAGGCGATCCGTGCCTGGCTCCAGCCGACTTCGTACAGCGCAGAGAATAGTGAGTGCAGCAAGCATCGGGCCTCGCACCTCGCTGGCACAGGCGACTGGCTTTGGAACGCCCCAAGCTACACAGCATGGCACGAGAGCCATGAGCATGGCATGCTGCTGATCAAGGGCATTCCCGGGTCCGGCAAGTCCGTCATCGCAGGGAGCCTGGTGGACAGGTTGTCGAGAGAAGACGTTCCGGTGCTGTACTTCTTCTTCCGCCAAATCATTGACGCCAATCATGCCCCCATTGCATTGCTACGCGACTGGCTAGATCAGGTGGTGGTCTACAGCCCGCCGCTGCAGGCACAGCTAGACAAGTACCTCGAAAGCAGACAGACGCTGGCGATCAAGTCAATGAATGACCTTTGGAAAGATCTCAAGATTGCCCTAGGTCACTTACCCAAGGTGTATTGTGTCGTGGATGCGCTTGATGAGATAGACGATGGGAATGAGGACTTTCTCAAAGAGCTTGCCGAGCTTGGACGGTGGCGACCAGCCCACATCAAGGTGGTTGCTACAAGCCGCCCCGTTCCACGAGTTGAGCATCCGATACGACAGATTCCAATGAAAGAAATAAGGCTGGAGGAGAAAATCATTGACATGGATATCGGTACCTATGTTGAGCACCATTTAGGACACTCTTCCATTCCGGTGGATCTGCATGCTCAAATCAAGCGAGTTGTTCCTGGCAGGGCCAACGGACTCTTTCTCTACGCCAAGCTGGCAATGGAAGCCTTTCTTAAGCCAGGGGCAGATGTAATGCAAGTTATGGCGGCTTTGCCCGCAGATCTGAACGTACTATATACGGACTTGCTACAGCAACATATTCTTCGTTCTGGGGTACCTGAGCATCTCCAGATCCTCATCCTCTCATGGGTCACTCATGCTTCGCGACCACTACGGTTGCTAGAGATTGCTGAAATGATCAATAAGACACAGAGCATTGACCTCTCTGATTTCAGGGCAATCAAGGAGCTGGTTCGAACCAGTTGTGGCCCTCTTTTGGAGATCTTACCAGATGAAACGGTCTCAGTAGTTCATCATTCGTTGACCGAGTTCCTCAATGGATCGACTCGCAGTCCAGAGAAGCATATGGTATCTACGACTGGTACAACATCTTATCCTATTTTGGACCAAGGTTCCACACACAGTCGCCTCGCTCGAGTATGCATTTCCTACATACTTGGCTCAAAATGCCTCGACGGTGTCAAAACCAAACAAGTCAAGAAGCGTCTTGACTTGAACGGAGGATCCAAGACAGATGACGATATAGTCGATGTTTTAGACCAATGTAGTTACAAGAGGCTTGGGGGAGATGACGAAGCCAAGTGCAAAAGGTCTTGGAACGGCGATTTACCTGCAACTCCAGAACTTCGTTCCCGTTATCCCTTTCTGGCGTACTGCCTCGACAATTGGCACGTCCATGTCAGAAAGGCAGATTCTCACTCAGAACTCTCGGAAGATCTGCTGGGTGACGTTGATAAATTGCTCGCTGGTACTAACTGTTTGGCTTTGGAGGCGTTGGAGAGAAGAACGGCCTGTGGGTGGAAGCCCATCCATGTCGCTTCTTGCAATGGGTTGAGTCAGTACGTATCTCACCTCATGGCAAGAGGAGGGACGAATGTCGACATGGATGATAGATATGGAGAAAAACCTCTCCTTTTCGCGGCTGGGGGAGGGCACGCCCCTACTGTCAAGGTGCTGCTGGCAGCTGGAGCAAAGCCAGACCAGGAATCTCTAAGAGACGGATCAAAACCCCTGCACAAGGCAGCGACGAGCAATAATGGTGACACAGTCAAATTCATTCTCCAAGCTGGAGTCGATCCAATGACGAAAAAGACAAGAGAAGACCCTGACTGGTATCCCGTGGGTTCTGGAACCACGGGATATACACCACTCATGATGGCCTTCCTCAACGGTCATTTGGAATCAGCTAGGGCCTTTATACCCTATCTTTCCACAAAGAGGCATGTCTACAGGGCCCTAGGATGGGCAGTAGAGGGCGGGCACTATTCTCTAGTGGAAGAGATGCTCAAGCGCCCACTTGTCAATGTCAACACCAAGATTCGCGGGGAGACACCCCTAATGTACGCGGCAAAGCGTCACGATTTCAGGATGATGATTCTCCTCTTACGCGCTGGTGCAGACCCGACGATCACGGCCGATGAAGTTTGGGGTGATGAGTTTGAGGACTATGACACTGATGAGGAGGAGCATTTCGAAGGAGAAGACGAGGGTGAAAATTCAGTGATGGCCGACAAAGGCGGCCCCAACGCCCTACACATACTTTGTGGTGCAACGGAAATAAGTTGGTCGTCTCAAACAGCTGATGAAAAGACCCTCCACCCAGGATTGATGGAAGAAACGGTTTCCTTGATGCTCGATGCCGGAGTCGATATAAATGGTACATACCGTGCACCATCGTACTATAACGGTGGCAGTCCTCTAGGTATTGCCGCATCACGGCGGCCCGCCCTTGTACGCACCCTAATAAGAGCTGGGGCGGATGTTACAGCTAGGAGTAGCGGCGGTTCAACTGTACTACATAATTGTTTGAACCCAGACCTGATACAGCTCATGGTTGAGGAGGGAAACGCGGATCTTATCCATGCGGAGACCTCGACTGGATTAACGCCCCTTCTCTGTGCCTCCGGTAGTGGTAAGATGACGGCAGCACTGGCTCGAAAGTTTTCTGAGCTTGGTGCAAACATGACACATACCGGCCCAAAGGGGGAGGGAGCCCTACATCGTTTCTTCTCCGGGTACTTGTTTAGGTTTAAATGTGACCAGGTTGTAGAGATTGTTGAAGCTCTCCTTGCAGCAGGGGTACCGCCAAACTCCAAGAATCACGACGGCGAGACTGTTCTACACCGCATCCTCAAATTGACAGAAGTCAAGTCACCATTTGGGGACGTTTCAAAGAGGGTGGTCTCTGCCCTCTTGGCAGCAGGAGCAGATATCCATGTTCGTGATAATGAGGGGAAAAACCCGCTGTTCAAGTTGGTAAGCGAAGCCAGGTCGCCAGATCGAGTTGCGGTTGTGCAAATGCTGGCAGAGCTAGGAGCAGACATCAACGGCCGCGACTTTCGCGGCCGTAATCTATACTTTTACCGCCCCAAGAGAGATTCTGAGGCAATGGTAAGAACACTAGTTTCCTGGGGAATAGATCCAGCAGCAGTTGATTATGAAGGGAATCCGATGGACTGGTCTCTCGCGCCTCCAGGCCACAAAAACAACGCCGGCGAGACCTATGTACACTGGCTAGCGGCCAACCAAGCTTTGCAGCTAGAAAAGACGCTCACAACCTTCGACAACTTCGATGCCGAAGACAATGCCGGTATACGGCCAATCCATCACTTCGCAAAAGACAACGACAAGCTGGTCGCTCTAGCTTTGAATGGCGGTGCGTGCGCTGTTGGGCGCACACACAAAGGCATGAGCCCCTTGCAGGTTGCCGCAGCCTTCAGGCAACCCAACATCGTCGGTCGTCTGATCGATGCCATTAAAGCCAAGAAAGGAACCGAGTTTCTCAAGTCTCACATCGACTACAACCGTAACGGCATAATTCCATCGGCACTGCAGTATGCTTGTCAGACGAGAATGCCAGAGACGGCCTCGCTGCTCCTCGACGCTGGTGCAGACCCGGGTCTGGCTTTTTCACCAAGAATCCCACGTCTATGGTGTGAAACTGTGCAGAAGAAAGATGGGTACGAATTTGCCCCAAGTGAACATGTTGAGAGCGGGCTGTATTCTACAATAAGTCAATGGAATAGGTGGAATGGCTCGGGAAGTGTGTCAGGCCGTGATATAATGCCGCGGCTTGAACCGATCATGGATTTATTGTATTCTCGTGGTGCGATGTCTGGAGAAAAAATTGATGCAATGATCGGGTCGAACGACGGCGACGACTATGCGACAGAATGTCTGCTCAAACTAAGGCAGCGGGTTTTCTCTGGGGAGGAAGTAGACGTCTTGGAACACGATCAAAGAGCAGCATTGTCAAAACCGCTGTCCGCTCTAGAGCTATATGCTGATGCATTGCTAAGACACGGCAAAGATCAAGGCAGAGGCAATGCTTCTAGAAGTGAGGACGAGCTAAGGGACGATGCCTCGTTAGATAACAACGAGACATGTAAAATGAAAGACGGGCTGTGGAACGCCCTCTCATATGCATCCCTCGTTGGAGTGTATCGTCGCGCATCCGCCAGGAGAGCGTTTGTCCGCACTGACTCCGACACGTCCTATGATCATATGACATTAGATGGCCAGTGGGACCTGATCCTGTACAAGGCCCAAAAAGATCCAGAGCTCTTCAAAACCGATTACTATGGGAACTACGTACTGTCGAAATTTACGGCATGGGGCTTGGTCTCAATGTTAAGAGTCCTAATAACTCCACAGCGTATGCAGGAACTCGACGGAGAATATGAAGAGCGATTTTTGCACTCCAAAATCCCTTCAGACTCTGATGACAATAGATTCGGCTCTCACGGGCCAAAGCCGCTCCTTCTTCAAGCTTGTGAGAGGTCCATAGATAATCTGCCCATGCTGCGGTTCCTCGTTGAGGAACTGGGCGCAAACATCGACATCCAGGATTTAGAGATTACGGGATCTCGTGAGATGAGGAAACATGTTAAAGGGAATGGTGCATTGCATGAACTGGCGAGCAATGGAAATTGGTGGGCTGCCGCACGCGGTCTGCCGTATCTCCTGGAACAGGGCGCTGAAGTCGATCTGCGAGACAAGACAAACCGCACCCCGCTCATGCATGCGCATTCCGCTCAGGGAGCGCATTATCTGATCGACCATGGTGCAGACGTGAATGCACAAGATAACTTTGGACTCAACTGCTTGACACACGCAACCCAGAATCTGGAAATAGTGAAACTTTTAATGAGTTGCGGCGCGAGTGTTCAGCCGGAGGTGTTCCACTGTCTCCTGAAAGAAAGAACCATGGACGAATCAACTCCGCTGATTCTCGATACCATATGCACTGGCATAGACGTTAACTCCCGCTGTACATCATTACATTCGATGGCGACTGAATCTATTGCTAAGGAGGTCCCGGTAATCAAACAAGAGCGTTACGCCTTGTATCTAGCAGCCGCACCAAATCCAATGTTCTTCCAACCCGGCTCCAGGATTCAATACTCGAGGGATCAGGTACTTAGGAGAAATCTGCCGGTGATCGATATTCTTCTCAAACACGGTGCCAACCTCTACGCGAGTTTTTTCAAGCGGGGAAGGCCAAGTGAGGATAATCCCGAGGACAGCGGGGAAGAAGTGACACTCCTACATGATCTCCTCGAGATTGGAGGCCTAGTAGAACCTTTATTGAGCCACAAGAGTACAGAGCTAGAGCGACTTGACAATAAGGGACGAACATTACTCCTTGCCGCGTGTCGAAGCGAACTGGGACCAGATGCTCCTATAGGTGCCGTCCACTCCGGGTTCTTGGGGAACCTTTATAACAAGGAAGTAGCACCTGAACAATCCAATGGAAGGCCATCGTTGACCAAATACCTGATCGAAAAGGGTGCTTGCGTCACTGCCCGGGACAATGATCGGAAAAACGCACTGCATCATATCTTCGAGTCCAGGACCACTGGGGGACTAGAGTCTTTTTCTCTGATAATGTCTCTTGCACCGGAATTGGTTCACCAAGTTGACAGTTCTGGTGCAAGTCCCCTTCTCTACGCACTTCGGAGATTTTTCTCCCCTATGGCCTCGGACACTCGACCGATCAAAATGCTACTTGATGCAGGCGTCAACCCCCATGTTGAGGATGCGCAAGGAAACAGCCCACTGCACATACTCGGTGCACGTTTAGCTGGGCACGGTTGGTCTGAAGAACAGGTCCTGCAAATTCATGAATTGTATCAGAGATTCATCTCACTGGGTTTACCTATCAATGGGCGTAATAAACAGGGCGAGACTCCCGTTCTGTCTTTTTTTAAGAATCAAGGCTTGGACGTTGGGTATAAATATTCCACGGGTCAGGATGCAAAGAGACAACAGGCCGCATTGGATATTTTCTCCGCTGCAGAGGCCAATACCTTGGCTGTCGATGCAGACAGAAACACACTTCTGCATACAGTCGCAGCTACGGCCGGGTCACTACAGAATGGCGAGGCTGGTGAACTCATGGTTCAACGTTTTCAATGGTTAATTAATCAAGGTCTAGACATTATAGCGGAGAATTCTGCATTCCAAACGTGTTTAGATATTGCGATGGTAAATGGAAACCAGGCTATTCTGAAACTCTTTGAACGAAAGGAAAAGGAGTAATATTTTAAAGGGTTTATATTAGATATAAACTAACTAATATATTAATCAGCTTACCCTATACTAATTAGTCTATATAATTATATATTATTAGATTATAATCTAATAGTATAGTAATTAAGTATTTTAACTAGTTAGAAGATTATAATAAACTAAGATAATTAGAAGAATACTAAAGCTTTTATATAATCTAAAGATTACTAGTTTAAATCTAGTCTAAATTAAAGATAATAAAAATCTAACTTTTATTATCTAATTAATTTAAAATAAACTACTTATTTTAAATTCTATTTAAGTTTTTTCTTATTTATTTTAGATTTAAAAATAATTCTTATTTACTTTTTATAAATTTAAATCTA